CACAAACACGTGTATCAAACTTAATTAGTAAAATAAATCAGAATTCTTTTCCGTGGTTCATGTCATCATGTGGTTATTATGAATTTTCGTAGAAAACAAATCTTGATTTTGTAGAAGTATGTAACTTACGCTTTTGATAGACGGAAACGAAACACACCATGTAGTTTTATTTTCAAAATTGTCTACGCAAATCTATTTTGTGTGCTAGATATTGTCTATGATTAACAAAGAAATTACAGATTTTTAGCCCATAATCTTTGTCGGCCTTGAATCAACTGTTGGTTATACATGTTGTGTAAATCATTTTCCCCAAACGGAGATTGGAACTCAAATACAAAGACTTCACCTCTATCCAAATTATTCTTACATGCAACTGAACAACCTGCATGCGCTTGGTAAAAAATAGTTGAGTATCGTGGTCCAACCATTATGTTTTTTTATTTTTTTATTAAGAGTCTATGGACTAATGTATCTATGGACTAAGAACCATTATCTTTACTATATATGGTTTAGAAAGAAAATAAAAAGGTTGACTATGGACTAATGTATCTACTAATCTATTCTTTTCTTTTTTTGGGCAAAGTATCTACTATCTATTCTACTGGTTCGTTTTGATACGGATTTGAATTTCGTAGTGAGGTTCAAAGAAAGATTTTGATATTGAGTTGACGTCAATTCAGAAATCTACAACGTGTTTTATCAATCTTACCTAATTTTCTTAAATCATAATTTTCTCCTTGTCTTTAATTGACTCAATTTTAGTCGATTCAAAGATCCCATCCCAAGTTGTTATCTCTTTTTCATTTGTCATCTCAAACACAAAATTAAATAATATTTATTTTTACCGTAATTATATATCTAGAAAACTTTCACAAAACTTCTATTTTTTCCTACGTGCACATAGTTAGGATTAATCAGAAAATGGCACGAAAATACAAACATAGAAAGAGTTCTGTTCGAGGGTTCTGACCATAGAAACCACGTCGGGTTAGCTTTGTGTGCTGAAGCTTTAGCCATGAAAAAAGCGTTAGCAGCAGCAAGGGAAGCTGACATCCACGAGCTGAGAATGTTCTCCGACTCCCAAATACTTATTTTCCTAATCAATTCCAGTAATTCTACCAACGAGTTAAATGGTCGACTCTATGATATTAGCCTCCTAAATCTATCTTTTGAAACTATTTCCTTTACTTTTATTCCTCGCAAAAACAATGTCACTGCTGACTCTCTAGCTAAGTTGGCTCTTTTATTAGTTTGTAATTCCTCCTCTGATGGAGTGTAATCGTCTCTTTAATACAAAACTGGTTTACTCAAAAAAGAAAGAGTAGCCAGATTAATTTGTTAGTTACGTTCATCCTCGATTTACATCTTGGGTTTACGAAGAGCACGTGTTGGAATTCGAGTTTATACCCTAACGTAACATAATATCCAGAATTTTCCCCAAACAAAACAAAAATACCCACGCGCATATGTAAATTAAGAATGTAATTACCGATTAAGACTCTTAGTAAGAAAGGTTAATGTGAACGGAAAGGGAATGTGAACACACAAAACAGATCACATGGACAGCTCTTAGGACTTCACTTTCAGACACAAGTCACTAAGATACACCCCAAAAAACAGTCACCTATTCGATAATTTTAGAAAGAAAAAAAAGCAAACAAATACCTTTTTCCAACCAATATTCATTAAAAACGAAAAGAGAACAGAAAAGTTTACCATATGGAGATAGATACAATTCATTCGGATATCACACACTTTCGTTTTAAGGTTATGTATATCGTTGATAAGATAAGAAAATAAAGCATTGTAAAAAGAAAATAAAGCGTTTAGAACAAAGTTGTTGACCTTTGACTCCCAAATTTGATAAAATTTGAAAATTTCAGTAGTAAAACACGTCCACAAAATCGATATTCTGAAACGATTTCATTGTTTGAATAAAAACACCGTAAATGTCAGAAGAGTAATTTTTAATTTTATTGACAATAATATAGGTATTAGATCTCTTCTATTCTACGTCGACTTCTACGAATCTATCTGTTTTCTTTTTTATATATAGAATTCTTTTGTAATGGTCATGAGCTTTTTTTCAAAAAAAAAAATGGTAATGAGCTTTGGGAATACCGTATTGAAACACACACACACACCATATCTTGTCTTTTCATTTTTGTTCAACCAAATATGTACATTTTAAGTAGTGGCGATAAGAAAATAAACATAAGAAACAAACAATTAAAAAAAATTAAGAAATAACCGGTTAAAATGATATGCAAATCAGCCCACGTATATATATGTATGGTGGTGGAGTAGTTAAAAATGTTGATTTCAAAACGTAGATTAGCATAAATAGTGGATTTTATGTCAGTCCAAACAAAATTACAACATGTGTGATCATTTAGACATTTGGATTTTGATCCTATGATAATTTATCCGAAATGAATTTCTGAAAAACTCATGTCAAAGAAATTACTTATTTTCGGATTAATGGTTTGATCCGAATGCCGGTGTCGGTAAAAACAAATTAATATACACATAATTCGATTAGACGGTGCCAATAAAAATAAAACAATACTACTATATGCAAATAATTCGATTAGATTAGTCATACAAGTGATAAAGCACTTTTGCTACCGTCCAAATTAGTGCTTAAAATGGTTCACACACGTGGCAGGTAATGAATGGATTACAGCTGCCAATATCCATAGGATCGCAATAGATTACAATAATCCATTAGTTGCACGCTATAATCTTTCGGCGCGACTTAAGCTTCGACTTAATCAATGGGTAAAATATTTTAGATAACTATGGTACGATTACTACTACGATACTATAAATCATTACGTACTTATAAGTGCAATATATATGAATATCATATATATAAAATGAAACATGAGAAATATTCAATATTTTGTTATAAGCGCATGATGGTAATTAGGTCGATTTTAGTACCATGCACACATGTGTATGTCTAATGTCTGACACTAATAGCTTTCACATATAAATAATTTTTGCACAGGGAAAGTAATTTTCTTACAAATTTTCTGGTGCATATTTATCAGCATAAATGTATAACGAATGTGATAGACAATGATTGATAATCTTTCCAGTTCAATAAAATCGTCGGTTCGTTTGACAAAAAAATCACTAAGATCATGGAGAATAGTGCACTGTTAATCCGGAAAATTGTCGTCATTGTTATTATTGTAACATTTCATTTCTATAAATAGAGGCTAATCTATTACTACTATCTATGCTTTAGAAATACCCCTATAAAATACAATAATATGTAGCTGGAAATAAAAAAAAAATGTCTAGAAAATGGACGAACAATATTTTCTAGAAGAGATAAAATGAAGAGCCCACCACATAAGTCTATTTGTTTAATGGTCAACGACTCAACGCCCACCCCATAAGTTAAGTAATGCAGTAATCTCTAGTAATAATAAATTGATTAACAATAGTATTAAAATTAAATAATACACTAATTTCATGGTTTATGCGCAAAAATATACTCCCACGTGAGTCGACACGTGCTCCGTGAACCTAGATTTACTTTGTCGACAGCTTTCTCGTATTCCTAATCTCTTCAGCTAATTCTCTTCCCGTACACTTTTTTAACTTTTATTTTTTGAGATTTTGTTTTTAAAAAATTGGAACTATATATTCGAGAAACATAAAAAGTTGTAGTATACTATTATATTACTTGAAAAATAAAATACTAATATTTTGTGGAAATGAATATTAGCGTGCAAGTCTTTTTTCTAGCTCGCACTGTTCAGGTTTTAGTAATGTGTTGTGTAAGTAATTATGGTTATTAAAAAAAATTGATTTTTGTTTTGTTTGTAGAGAAAACGAAGAAAGTACATTTTGTATTATGACGTACATATAGTAAAAACAAATAAAAATAAAAAGTTATTTAAAATTCTTATGATGTACAATGAACTTTAGTACAATCAATTAACTTCTATTTGAAGGAGAAAAAAATAAAGCACTGAGACTTTAGAACATTTATTTACACTGAAACACTACGAAACAAAAGTAGAAACAGTTTTGAATTTGACCC